TATATATATATATATATATATATAGACTTGAGATCATGTGAGACCAAGGGTTTTTCGTGAAGCCCGTAAGACCAATTCTCAACCCTTGGATTGGATCTACAATCTGAATATTCATAATTTCAAAATTACCACGAGACTTCTCAATAATCACAAAATTGCCACCATGCAATTTTATACCATTAGATTATTAGCTTATAAAGTTGATTAATGAACATAAATTGGTCTTATGGGTCTCACAGAAAACATTTAGTCTCACATGAATCCAACTATATATATATAAAAGGTAACGATTAAGCATAGAAATTCAAAATTTTTATTACATAATTTAACACACGTGCTTTAAATGTAGCGGGTCTAAACATGAAGAAGCATATATCGTCTTGGGACCGGTTTAATATAAAGATAATGTATTGGTTCAAATAGTCGTGTTAAAGAGAAAGAGTTAAAAAGAAATTCTATTTTGTGTTTGAGATCGACTTGAACTTGAAAATTTATAAATAAAAGTATTAAAATCACTTTTATATAACAATCGTTTTTAAGAACAGATCAAAATCAACAATAGCAAAAAAATCAGTACAAATATAACTGAAAATCAATAGCAAAAGAATCGAGATATTCAATAAAACTACAACAAAATACAACATTCGTGTCGAGTAGATAGCAGAAACGTAGAATCTGAATAAAGAAAGATAACTGATACATCAAGAACATATGTAGAATTACATTCATAGGTACAACATGATTTTTGACTTACATGTTACAAGAAAACGATTGTAATCAATGTTAATTTGGTTTCAGTGTAAAACATCTGAAGCTTTTGCGCTCGATTTTGTTAAACAACCAACGTTCTTCTCTCGTATGTATCGTCCAGCTGGCACGGTGGAGGCAGGATGAAGAAGGTATTCGTTTATGAATCCATATTCTAAAGATTATGGAACACTTTTAGAACTCTGCCATTCGACAACCTCACCTTTTCGACATCCATCGACCCACAAATACATCGTTCCTTTCTTGGTTGAAGGCAAGATTCTACAACAATCTTTTCTTGGTGCCTGAAATACGATCGATGAATATGGAACCGATTAACAAATGTTATAACAGACTGCTTTATAGGGTCCCAAAAATGTCTGTATGTCATTTAAGTTTATAGGAGCAAACAATTGTGCGACCTATACAAATGTTTTATACAATAGAATGTTGGGACATATCTAGGCATGTTAACAAGTTTTTTAGACCACTTTCGAAGTAAAATAAATTTTTTTATATCACACTTTTTGGAAAATGTTCTATGAACACAATTTTTTATGGGACATTTGTTTTTATAATACAAATTTTCAAATAATGTCGTACGGTTACTATAGGATTAGAACTGTCATTAAGACATTTAGACATATTTAACGTTGTATAACATGTACCTTTTGCCAACGATGATTATCTGGACTCTTTAAGACGACGATATTATCAATTTTCTCCGGCGATTCCATCTTCCATCGACAAGTCGGGTGTCGTTCGTTGTGCAAAGTATAGATCCCGATGATCTTCTTCCGGGCTTTATCATACATCGTTCGACTCATGTAAAACACGAAAGCCTTCTGACATGGGTGTCTTGTTACGGGTCTAGTATTGAATGCGTATGCCATATAATCAAGCTTTTTGTACCAATTAAGGAACGTGCGAGTCGGGAAATCAAGCTCTCGTGGAGAGACCATTCCACGGACTATTTGGATCGCGAAACCCCACGAAACCAAAATGGACCACTCTCGAGTCTTGTCGTAGCATATGGATTGTTGTGCGATACTGGCGGAATCGTATTTTGCGGCTTCGAGCAAGTGTCGAAGGGATTCGGTTCGGCTCATGCCAGGGAACACGGGATCGACTATATCAAGATGGTGGAGCGAGACCAATGGAGCTACGGGATGCGATCCCAAAAGACCCAAAAGGTTTCCATATACATCAAACTGTGAATCACAGAAAAAAAAAAAAACTCAAATTTTACATATATATATATATATATTTTTTATTAAACTGGATATCCAACCCGTTATGCAAGCTGACTAATCCCAGGTGACCATCTGTTTTACAAATAGCCCGGATTCACCACATTTGAACCTCCATGGTCACAAGAGATTTTTATTCCTCCTTTGTTTTACAAAATTTGCAGTTATAGGACCAAGATCTGTGGACACTAACCTGATGAAACCCTATTTCTTTAGTGAGGGGAACATTAAGCTCTGCCATGCACGCCTGAATCCGATCATCACTTCCATACAGACTTGGGTACCTCTGAATACACCGATCTTGCATCTTTTCCAGCTCCAATGCCAATGGATAACTAATCGCGAATCCAGCACCACCGTACGCCATCGTATACGAGAAAAATATGTTCTGCACATGGCTTTCCGACGAACTTCCGATATAATAATACTGTTCATGGTTATATTTCGACAAAATCCTCACCAAATTCTCCAAAATAAACACAGTGTCATCATCTCCCATCACCAACCACCTCACATCTTCCAACCCCAGCTTCATCGTCTCCGAAACCACCCTCGAAATCCGGATCGCCGATCTGGTTCCCTGACGGTTTGTGTACCGGAATTTGGACGTGTCCCTGGAGACGTGGATTTCCGGCAAGCTTTCATTTTTCTTCATTCGGACTTGGTTATCGATCCAAACCGCGCCACGTGTCTCTCCGGGTCTCCACCATAGCTTGATGTATTCTTTCCGCCATCGCCATAGACCGGAGGAGGCGGCAATGCCGAATACGATGTGTTTGAGCTCAGTATCGAACCGGGGAATGGGTGACGAGATTCCGGCGAGGTCGGTGGCGTTTTGGAGGTTTTCGGTGGTGGAGAGGTGATTGCTAAAGTGTCCGCATTCGGTTTGATTAAGGAGGAGTTTGGAGGAGTAGAGGAGGTAGAGGATTAGGAGGGCGATGAGAAGCCAAAAAAAGGAGTAGCGGAGGGTGGCGAGGGCGGAGCGGTGGGGGTGTTGGGAGGCGGTGGCGGTCAACATAATGGTGGTGGGGTGGTGGTTGTAGGATAGCGACCCATGGATGGATGGTTTCTAAAGACAATGGTGGTGTTTGGATGGAGATGATAGGTTTAGAGTGAGTGAAGTTCGGATCTTGAAGCTTAAAATACGGGTTAAAGAGAGTATAAGAGGGTGCAATTATAACAAATATAGGGACTGTGCTACCTGCTTTCGACATATCGATGTTTTCRTTCGGAACTTAACGTTGGCGGAATCGTCCCGTATCTCGCTATCACGAAATTCATTTGAGAATAATTTCAAATTTCAGTCACGATTTTGGCAGAAACTGATCGGCTGATAACACATCATATATGCGGTGGCAAAATCATCTGATTCACGCACGACTTAGATGCCTGYCATACAAATTCATCTAATGATCTCGGGTTCTAGTTAGCTGAATAAATTAACAGGATATGATTTACCATATTTCTCAAATCATCACCATAATTAATTGTTATAACATTTAAATAATGAAATAATTTAAATCTAATTAATTTGAGCTTAAATAAATTTAAATTAAAAAGCAAGACAAAATGAAGAATAACCCAACSCAAGTAAAATACGACTGTGGGCCGATCAAACCAATTAAATCTTGATAAACTAGCCAGGAGCCCACGCTACTTCCTTATCAGCCATGGCCAAATCAGCCCGGCCTGGTCCGAGACCAATAAGGACCGGTTATGCGACCGAAAACCAGGACCGATTGGAGTTTTTGGTAGTTTCGTGGGACCGGTTATGAGACCGGCTATGGACCGGCCTGGCCTAGCCCGAAAATTAAATAATTTTATAAATAAATGTATTTTTAAATAATTTTATAATRTATTTTTATAAGACAATGTAATTTTAATTATATTAAAACGCATTTTTAAAGTGTATTTGAACGACCCAATTGTAAATTTTATAATTTATAAAAAATATATATCATTAAAAAAACTAAAGAATCTTATTTTTTAATGCCGGGACCGGTTGGGACCGTCAACCCATAACCGGTTATGAAGTACCTTGACCGGTCCTACCATTTTCGACCGGGACCATTTACGCCGGGACCGGTTATGGCCGGTTATGAGAAAGCTTGGGACCGATTAGGCCCGGCCCAACCAGAGACCRGTTTTTGGCCATCACTACTTATCATAAATTAATGATTTCAGATAGTTAACTATATTTTTTTAATTATAAAAAAACTATTGTGAAAATATATCTTAAAATAGAGAAAATAAAAAAGAGCAAGTATTAAAAAAATTTAAACTACTTCCTACTGTTTTGAGGATCATCATGAGTTCTAAACAAAGCTCTAATACAAACCATTAATCGTAGTTTTTTTAAACCCAAGATCTTCAGACATTTGATAATCGTGCATAGTCATATGAGCGTAAAACGTACCCGAAGCCATTGCGTGTGGACTGAAACGTACTATAGAATGCTCCAAGGTGTGAATTAAAACGTACCTGAATATGTGAATTAAAAGTACTCGAAACATAAAACGTCCTATCAGGTCATCCAATTCCGTCCTATTAATTTATTGTAACACATTTAGATAAGAAACTATTGAACATGTCTTAGAAAACCAATATTGTTCTACTAGAGATGGGATACGACACGATTGGACACACTGACATTTTTTAACATTTAGAATAAGTTGATTCAAATCATTTAATTAGAAGCATTCTATGATCTCATATATAATCAGTGAATTATTTTCGATAATTACAAAAATACATATAAAAAAGTTTGTTATTATTAAATAAACACTAGTATTAAAATCTTAAAAAGTTCAAAAAAATATGTAAAAATAAATATTAACAACTACATTTTTTTTTTCTTCTAAATTTCATAAAATAAAAGATGAATAGTAACACAGGGGTGGTGTCTGATTGATTTGAGCGTGACTCCAAATGTCAAAAGTACCAGGAGGTCCCAGATTCAAATCCAAGGAGGAATAAAAATCCCCTTTGTAGCCACAGAGGTTCAAATGCGGTGACTCCGGGCTATCTGTAGAGCAGGCAGTCGCCCTAGGATTAGTCGGCTCGCATAGCGGGTCGGATATCCAGGTTAATAAAAAAAAGTGAATAGCATTTATATAGAATTTTATGAGAGAGGAACTACTTTTGTAAGTTCTAAAAATTTCCAAGGGAGGGATTCGAAACTTGGTATCTTCAGTAAAAATTTCAAGCAGTTTCATTACTACATTATATCAATATTACAGTATATCTAAAAAATCCAACAAGAAAAATCGAAGGCCCCCAACGATCTGAGATCCTGTGCGAAAGCACCATCACCACAACCCCGAGGTCGTCCCTGCTGAAACATATACCGGATGACCATTGAAGGCAAGTCGAAGTGGCCAATGTGGATCTTCACCGATTTCGAAGGTGGTTGGAAAAACGTTGAAGTTATAGAATAGCCAAATTCTGGACTTCGGACTTGAGGACAAGGTGTAAAGATATGGCTGGAAAACCTATTTCAATAAAATATTATAGATAGAGAGTATGGGTTGCATTGAATAAAAATCACTTGTATCAAATTCTCGTGTTCCATTCATGTTCACCAATCATATGATTACACGTAAAAGAGAAAGTGAACAAGAATTAAATAAATTTAAAATAAATGACGATATGATCTGTCTTAATTTCTTTGGTGAGACAAAATGAGACGTGTGATTTCAGTCATGTCCTATCACAGGTTGATGTCACATTAAACCGAGACAATAAAATTTTATACTATCCTATTATACACCGACTTATATTGTTTTCTGAAGAGTTATGCATCATTTTCATTTATCCATATTCGGAATATTTTTACGACATCAAAGTCGAGCAAAAGTCTCTTTCACATGCAAACACATGTGACTGATAATTTGGTAGGGTATCAGGTTTTTAGATGCATAAAAATATTATTTATCATGACGATCAATCTAGCTCAAAATGTTCAAACACACAAAAATTTATACCATATAACAACCACCCTTTTAATCTTTTACATTATTCAACTTATATATATATATATATATATATATATATATATATATATATATATATATATATATAGGGGCCTAATCAAATAAAAACTGATTAGTTTGTGGTAACTGTGAGGTCCAATCTCAACCACAAATCAACGGATAAATTAGGAAATTAATAATTATGGTAGTTTGAGTTAAAACTATAATTTGAGGGCATATTAGGTATTTTTTAAAAACTCCTCTCTTCTCTCTCCTCTCTCCTCGCTCCGACCTCCAATCTCCGGCCTTCGGTGAAATCGATATCACAATATATCACAAATGGGTATCACATTGTGTATCTTTGTTTTTAAGGTTTGAGTTGGTATCATAGTTGGTATCACAATGGTATCATAGTATATCACAATGGGTATCACATTGCGTATCTTTGTGATTACTTGGTACTTGTCGGATTAATGTTCACCGGAGGCCGGAGATTGGAGGTCTGAGAGATGAGAGAGGAGAGGGAAGTTTTTTAAAAATACCTAAAATGTCTTCTAATTATAATTTTAACTCAAATTACCATAATTATTAATTTCCTAATTTATCCGTTGATTTGTGGTTGAGATTGGATCTCACAGTTACCACAAACTAATCAGTTCTCCCTTGAATGAGCCCCCCCTTATATAGGGGACTAATCAAATAATAACTGATTAGTTTGTGGTAACCGTGAGATCCAATCTCAACCACAAATCAATATATAAATTAAGAAATTTATAATTTTGGTAATTTTGAATTAAAATTTTAATGCAAGGATATTTTTGGTATTTTAAAATTCTCATCTCTCCACTCTTCTCTCTCCGGCCACCGTCCTCCGGTGATACCACAATGCATCATATATGTGTTTGTGTATCATATTAAGGTGTTTGTGTGGTCGATCGAAGATGTAGCACAGTGGTATCACAATGCATTTTATATATGATTGGGTATCACAATGTATCTTTTGTTTAACAGAGTCAATATTTTTAGGTACCACAGTGGTATCACCGGAGGACGGTGGCAGGAAGACGGTGGCCGGAGGACGGAGAGAGGAGAGAAAATACCTAAAATGTCCTTGCATTAAAATTTTAATTTAAAATTACTAAAATTATAAATTTACTAATTTATCTATTGATTTGTGGTTAATATTGAATCTTACGATTACCACAAACTATCCAGTTCTTTCTTAAATAGAACTATATATATATGGATCAAATAAAGTTGATCTTAGTACCGGTTTAGGATCCCCCCTTTAATTTAATGATTAAATTCTAAATAATATCTCTTATTTCTTTTTATTTTTATAAATAAATAAAATACAATAACCATAGGCCCAACCCAAGTTCTAGGGATAGACTTCGCTGGAGAAATAGGGGACAAACTACATGTGGTCTTCAGATGAAATTTATTTTGCTATCTTATAAAGTTGATTTTAATGATGATTGTCTACACGTAAAATAATTAAGTGGGTACATAAAAACTCGATTTTTAAATGTTTGTAACTTGGACTGATATGGGTATGAGCGCATATCACGCGGGAACAAACGTTGGATCCAGATACATCCGACAATATACATTTCGGATTTGTAAAATCAATTAACATCTGTATCGAATCATTTCATTTTCGAATACTTTGAACAGTCAGTCTCCACCGGTTCCCTTCAAAATGGTCCACGATGCTTGATTCTAAGAAATATAATAACATACAATGACACATTAATTGCGATGATACTGTTAAGTGTTGTAAAAGTTTTTTTCGCTACGACGCAATCATTAGGCGATGGCATGGGACACAATGTGTTCTAAAGCTAAGTCCACCATGCATTACGAGCAAACTTGGGCATAAAATAATTTGCATAATAATTTAAAGCAAAACTTAATTATTAAAAACGACAAACTAATTATCTTTTACAACGTTCAAGTTGTTTTCATAACTTAACACTTTAAGAAAACACACTGTCTAGACGAGAGAGCGGGGCATGGGACCTCCCTAGCCGTTAATGAATCCACC